AAGCAGGTACTCCTACTTGCTCCCTACGTGGATTCACTCTCACCTACCCAACAGCTGGCTATACAATACCACCATCAGTTTACTTATTTAACCATGTAAGAGATACTGATGACTCTGCATTAATAAGAATATGAAGCACATGTATTCTAAGCTGTTAAAGAAATAGCTGGCAAAGCTGTAGGGTCCCTGGTCCTTCAGTAAATAACCCAGGCTTACAAAGTGTCATATCCTTTGAAATTGAAATTTATGTGAGAAATGTATTTCTTTTCTTTCTTCTTTCCTTTTTTTTTCTTTTTCTTTTCTTTCCTTTTTTTTTTTTTTTTTTTTGGTGACAGGGTCTCACTATGTAGCTCAGGCTGGCCTTGAACTTGCCACAGTGATCCTCTTGTCTCAGCCTTCCAAGTGCTTGGGATTACAGGCATATACCACCATGCCTGGCAAAAAAATAAATTTCTAATTTTGCAATATAGAAAAGGATTTGTCCATGGCTCTCTATATAGGATAGTTGTAGAATATGGACTAAAACACAAAACTTTCTTGCTATCTTTAAAAACATCCTATTTTACATATTAGTCAACTATAACATACGTTCAAGCTGAATTCTAATTTGAACAGAGATAAAAAATTAGACAACTAAGGAAAAAATCAGAACAATGACTGGATATCTGATATTCACAAAATATCAGAGCTGAGGGTCTAGCTCACTGGTAGAGCATGTGGTTAGCACATTTGAGACGCTAGGTTTGATCTCCACCACTCACACACACACACACACGCACACACACACACATGATAAAAGCACTGATTATATATATTTTTAAAAGAAGCTTTATTTCCTCAAAAAGCTATACAAATAAAATTATATAATGTACTAAATTTGGTCCTTGGGAGAGGGAATAAACAAGACCTAACATTGAGCTGTTGAGTACATGGGGCTCACTACACACCAGGGGTTCCCAACCCTAGCACTATTTTGGGCCACGTAGCTCTTAGATTGTGTGTGTGTGTTCGGGGGGGGGGTGTCCTGTGAATTTGTGTTTTGTAAAATTTTACCAGAATTCTCAGTCAGGAGCAATCTCCCCCCACCAGTCGTGAAAATCAGACATGTCTCTAGACATTGTCAAATGTCCACTGGAGGGCAAAATCATATCTAGTTAAACAGCCCTGATAAATACCATCTTCTCTACTTATTTCTTTGAAATTTTCCAAAACAGATGTTTGAAAAAGTTTTATTTTGAGACTGATACAAGAGGATCTCAACCAAGCCCAGCCTGGCCAACGTACCCACTTAGCAAGAACCTGCCCCAAATTAAAAATAGGCTGAAGATACAGCTTGGTACAAAGCCCCTGGGTTCAATTTCCAGCATTGCCAAAATTTTTTTTTACTTATACTCTGGGTATTGGTACAACTGCATCCCCTCATTGAGTAATCAGTATGTAAGCTCTTAAGAAACAGCCTGGTACAGCAAAAAGGCAGAGGAGACTGAGCCAGAGATCTAGGCCTAGTATAGGCTTTACTACTCAATAGTCCAGGGTCTCACACAGCTCTGTCACCTCTGAGCCTTATGAGCTGCACTAAGGCAGACAGATTCATTTTTTGAGATATAAAATAATGTGGCAATACTGAACTCTTATATACCCATCTGTTAACAAGGGACATTAACATCTGGAAATCAGACAAATGAAAACAGAGTAGTATGCAAAGACGAAGA